CTCCTTTAATTCTTTCAGATTAACTATACTAATCATTTATTATTATTATTATTATTATTATTATAAATATTATTATTATTATTGGAGGGGTGGATTTCCCCATGCACCGCGACTAAGAGTCTGTTGTACGTCCCCCTTTGATATTCTACCAGTCGCCATAACCTGCCGGTACTGGTGCTCGCTATCAGCCCCATTCAGCCAGCGAAGCCGGCAGCGGTTCCCGATACTTCCCCATCTACCGGAGGCATTGGAAAATACTTGGGCCGGAAACTTTGCCTAATTTTGCTCAGAGGTCTCCTAGAGACATGAGGATCTTTTACGTGCCGTAAATCTACGACACGGGACCCACGGCCTAAAGTCCCTCCAGGAGTACTTGTTCCCTAAATTTTCCCGCCCTTAAAAATTCCACGACCTCCGCCGGGTTTGAACCCGCGTACCTTGAATCATGAGGTGGGAACGTTACCCCTAGACTACGGAGGCCGCTAATTATACTAATTATATATTATGATCACGAAATGCATAAAATGAGGGATAATCGGTGGACCATGCCGTCTGCCCGTACGTCTCTACATTTAGTTTAAGGAACTAACCAACACATTCAGCTTCATGCAGTACAATATTGCGGGAATAAGTTAAATGTTTAGGCTGAACTTTATTTCGATCAGTGTCAGGCTTCTACAACGGCTGCCTCACGTGGAATCCAAGCTCAGATTTATCGCTTTCGTATAGAATAGCAAGAGGCGGGAGAGCGACGCATCTAGATGGTAATACACTGCAATACCGGCTGCTCTACTGCTATACTCTACTCTACGTTTCCGAGGAACGTATCGCCTCCATCTTCAGGTTAGAAAAAAAAGAAGAAAATCCGCGAGCGAGGAACTAGCGTAGGAAGGTACAGCTGCTCAAGCTGGTGAGAGAAGATGGAGGAGATACGTTCCTCCGAAACGTCGTTTAACACAATATCTACACGACGCCACTTCTCAGAAGAAAACTTTCTTCATAGTCACTGCCGTGAAAACCTCAAATCTATCTTAAATTATATGGATAGGCCTGTCGAAAGTAACAGCTCATAAGACACTATAGACTGTCCTTATTCCTGGATGAAACACGAATCTCTTACGTCTACGTCACAAATATGGCTACGCGGAGAAAGCGCTATTTTTTCTTCGCCGATGTTAGGGCAGTGGTTTCCGCTACGAGACCACAACACTGGTTGACCATCGCGTAATTGTCGTTCTGGGACTTGGGAAACGCACACCGCTGGGTACGATAAAAGTAGAAATCATTAGGTGTTGTGGCGAGACATCCACCAGAAACAAGCCTGCCAACATTTTCAAACGAGATCTGTGGCAGATCTAATGACTAATGCATAGATCTGGCGGTTTCTCCCAGCAGCGCAGCGGGGAGACTGTCTTCTCTTCAGTGTATTACGTATAAATATTCAAAGCACTAATACTATAAGAGACATAAACACCAGGAAGAAAAACACAGGAACGCCATTACAAACGAGTAAGGAGGTTAGTCTAAAAATGAATGGTGAGAAAATGTTCAATTTCATCGCCAGAGCGAAGGGGAATCTACTCGTAATAATATCAGGGTGTATAATGCTCCTAAATAGTTAGAAACTATGGCAAAGCTGAAATACTTGTGAAAGGCAACAAGAAATAAAAATAGTATTCACTACAGGCTTAGAGCTGCTTTGTTTCAGAAAATGCTTGCTGTTATTCGGTTCACAAGGTTTTGTTGTCCAATCTAAAGACTTTAATGGACAAAATACTAACGTATTTTGTCAGTTATTTCATAGGAGTGTAAGAAAGAGGCTTGTCATGTCAGAGGAAGAAAAAGAGACAGAGGACATTTGAGAAGAGTGTACTGAGGAGAATTTTTGAGTGTTAGGGACTGGGTGGCAGCAAGATGGATACGGTCCAGTCGGGCGCACTTCACAATACAGAAATTAGCTTTGGGTTCTATAAAGGTTAGAAATGTCTTGAGTAGCTGATATCTCAAGGTTGAATCTATTCCATGGAGTTAACGGCATAATAACCCTCAGAGAGAAACCTCAGGTTCGGTGCTCATGTCGAAACCGGCTCTGGGGCTTGTCCGACTTCAGCCGGAGCGTGAAGCTTGCCACACTCCCCACACTTCCCACCGAATGCGATGAAATGAGTCAACTTCAGTTACAATTAGCTTTGTGAACTTGGAAAATCCATGTCTTGTGCTACTGCTCGTAATATGTGATAAAGATCACCAAATATTGGGATTATCAAAGAAGTTAAACCAGCTTAAGCATAAACATCAAGAACTTTATCACCAAATAGGTTGATATAGCAGTAACTCATAAATTTTGTATTTCGGTCATTCCCAGTTCGAATCTTGGCCCTGGCTTTCGTTATCTTGATTAACGGTTTCGTAATTTTCCTCAATACTTATAGGCAAATGCTTGGATAGTAATTTAATAGGCCATGTTCGCGTCCTCCCAAATTCCTTACAATGCATCGTTTATCCCACGATTTGACGTCATAATCTGAGAGACCGAGAGCCTAGTAAGACAAATCACACTCAAGAATTTCTGGGAAGAAGTAATTGCCTACTTTATGTCTGACGGTCAAGTAAATTACTGCTGGCCCTAGTCAGTAATGTAATGTTTGATTCCGAGTCCCGAGGACTCATGTCCATATTTTGTTCTCTCACGAGTCCGCCTATTTTCCTTTCAATGCGTATTCTACATCTCATATGGCACTGTTCGCACAGAAAACACCGCGCCCAAGAGTTCTTATATTTTTATCTGTGTATTTGTTACGTCAGGAACGTGCATACCGAACCGTTGCCTGGAAACGTTTGTTTCTTCTTGCCCCATTACCCCAGGTTTAAGGCGTTGGGGGGGGATACACAAACAGCAGGGTGATCTAATACCCCTCCTTTTATATTTCCAAAATAAGGACAGTGGGCTAAATATACTTCCTCATAGCCTATTTATGTGAGCCAAAGGGATTGTGGATTTTCAAAGAGACACAGAGAGGTTCAGAGCAAAGAGGGAAATGAAGAAAGAAGGGGAAGGAAGAACAAGTATTACAAAATTCAATGATGGAGAAGCAATTCGATAGTTTAAATTTTAAGCATTCTAATGGCTTTTTTTTTTCGTAGATGACTCCGATTTTAGTAAGTTTGTGTATGAGTGATCCTGAAATTTATGTTTCCGACCCTTCACGATTTGGGATTAATTTCATCTTACTTTTAATTGCTTAATTCTATTTATAAGCGAATTTTCGACTTTATAATATTATGACAGCAGCTCAACATTAAAACTAAGCTAATGAATTGGCTTATTGGCAGAAAATCTCAATTATCTCTTGAAAACAAATTAACCATCTATAAAGTCATACTAAAACCCATATGGACGTATGGGATCGAATAGTGGGGACGTGCTAAACCATCTAACACTAAAATACTACAGACATACCAATCAAAAGCTTTAAGAATTATGACAAATATTTCAGGGTATGTTTCTAACCAAACCTTGCATGACGACCTAAAAATACCATTTGTTAGGGAAGTAATAAATTCCCAGGCCAACTTGTACAGAAATACGAATATGAATCATACAAATGAACTGATTGCTGCTCTCACCAGTGAACCAACCGTTGCAAGAAGGCTCAAAAGACAGTGGCCCGAAGACTTACGTAAGTAACCTAAAGTGAACTGGCATTGGCCGGCAGCACCTACATTGACTGTATCTACTACTAAATTTACTTAATATTCGTATTTTATAGAGTATATTGTAAATAAACAGGAAATAAAATAAAATAATATTATGATAGAAGACACGCAATTCCCCTCTTGGTCATGCTGCAACCAGCTTCACACACGGTTGCGAAAGATGGCCATGACATTTCGGACCGTGTACTTCTATTAAGGATTTTGTTATTTTGTGCAAATTATGGAACTCAGACGGCGATGTAAGTTCCGAAAGAGAATCAGCATCGAAGTTGATCAACTTCAATGTTTCGGCCGGATGGATTATTCCGTTCCCATTAGAACACCTTTAGGTAAATCAGCATTTCTTTACGTCTTTAAAAAATTTTCTCTCGTACATCAAATTCTTAATTGTCTTCAGTTTTTTTCAATATGTTCCCACTATTTACTTCTGTACTCTAAAATCACATGTTTCAGTTTATTAATCTACCATCCTTCTCATACGCAGTATCTTGAATTATATTTCGATCTTGGAATTTAAATTCAGCTCCCAGTTACAAAAAAATCCATTCAGCAGCCTTCAGTTATATTCTGTTATTATCTGGACATCTGATCTAAGTGAAAGACCAGTCTATTATTCTCGAACCTTTTTACATGAAGCTCCCCTTTGCTTTTCACTAGTTCCTCGTGCCTCCAATTTTTATTGTGATAATTGTCAAAGTCAAAGTCAAAGTCATATTGTGACTGACGGTCAGTCAGTCAGTAAGTCATGGGGCTCGACACCAAGGCTTACTGACTGACTGATAATTGTAACTTCCTCAACCGTATTTATATCACTGTTGACGATCAATATGCTCGGAATTAGGGGAATATAAAGAGTGAGAATAAAAAATAAAAATTTGAAATTACACTCATGCCCTTTGTTTGGAGAGGAATAATGCCTACAAATTCTCAAATATAGTCACATTATTTGTTTATATCTGCACTAACACTTCTCACGGGCGATTAAATGCAACTGCAAATAATTATTTAAGCTGAATTTGGCGTTAAAACGCGGTTTCCCCATGGCTTCACCGTCCCTGGAACCCCTTCATGCCCCCCAGGGGTGTAAGGCTTGCGTCTTTAGTTTGGGAGCCACTGCCTGAAAGGATGTAAGCATACTTTCGCTACAGACGGAAACTGTAAGCTTTAGAGTACCGTTACAGGTCTATATCCAATTCTGCTAAGAACAAACTCACTGACAATTCCAATTTTCAAGTGAGGTGTGTTGTGTCAACAACAAGAACAGTTTGTCTAGAGTACTTTACCTTATTCCCTTCGCGAGAGCAACGTCACCGTGACGCCAGCTGACGAAGTCGCCTGGCTCCTCCACTTGGGTCGCGATGCACGTGAGTTCCACAGCACTGCCTGCCTTGTAGTACCTCTCCGACACCTCGTGGTTGTTCTCGTCCATGATCACCACTTCCGGGGCTGGAACACACACAGTGTCGCATTGCACGGAGCCTGCGTACAGAAGAGCACTGACGGAACTGTTCAATGCACGGGCCGAGTGTTCAGCAAACAAACTGCAAGATTTTTTGGGGTTTGAGACTCTTACAGCAGTCACTATACCTTGGAGATGTGACGCCGTGCAGTTCTGCAGAACACTATTGAGGAACGCATTACCTCAATCTTCAGAGTCTTAGAGTAAGGAATAAAAGAGTAAACAGCGAACGGGGTGAGCCGTATAAGGCAGATCACAACAAATTAAAATAAGGTCATGACTGTCAAGGTACTCGAACCCAGGCATTGCTGCTTGATGTGCCAGCAGGTAACTACTGCATTACTAGATTTGAAATTCTCACAGAGATAACTCTGAACAGTATTGTCTTCTGGGATTTAAGGCCGTGTATTTCTATGATGACCGGACGTTTCGGAGAGAAAGTCGTCTACACCATCAAGGTCAAGTAAGAAACCAAAGCATGTGAGTGGAAAACTGAGTTCAGCTCAGAAGACATACTCTTCGCATGTCTCTGCTCTCCTCTCTCGGAGAGGGGCGATATCTCCCCTCTTGTCCCACACCCAGTAATGTGAACTGGTTCTCTGAGGGTTCCTTTCGTGACTGATTCTGAGCCAGGTAATGCGCGCGCAGCTAGCACTGATTGCTCTTTGCTTCTTGCTGGCTGCTTGCTTGATTTACTCCTGGATCCTGAAGATGGAGGCAGTTATGCTCATCCGAAATTTCAGTAAACTTATAACAGAGTACATGTCTTCACATCCCAGAAGATACACTTTTCAAATTTGAATGCTGTTCAACATTTAGATCAAATTCTGCACAAGAACTAAAGGAATGCACTTCACTGATCACTCCCTTAACAAGCAATTTCCCCATCACTCTGAGGTCGAACCAACAGTAACCTCATTTCACAAAGGTCATTCGTGAAGCCGGATACGTTTCGGCCATATATGATCATCTGCTGGAGTACCCATGAAAGGAAAATTAGAGCAGACTCACATCTGTGACTTTAGAAATCAGCAGAATCAGTCCAACAACATGAACACATAGACATACCACTTAAAATATGCAGCATGACAGGGTTAAGAAGACGTAACATAAGATTTGAGTAATCCTGTTTTCATATTGCAGTATCTTCCGTAAAGCGCCATACAAACTTTGCATTCAAATTTCACCGGCTTGTATTATGCTTTATATGTCTCACTCAATATGAAACTACAATAGTTTAACTGAAAAGAAGTGGGTAAATATATGAACCTTGTGCAATCCAATTACAGCGGACCTCCTGTTTTACACGTCTGCATCTGGATGTCTGATATATTTCAAACACCTTCAAAGCATTTGCATCTGCCTAACGCAACAATAATGTTAAAGGTAGAGCTATCCCTGTAACAGGCCGTGGAGGCCCATAGGGCTGTGAGAGGTCAAGGCTGCCACATTTTCTAGACAATCGGCTCACAGATGACGGTGAGATTGTCAGCCTTATGCTTCGGCCGACCTTTACCCCCCCCCATGAAGATTCCTGGTACTCATTTCAGTTAGAGGATTAGTCGACCCTAGGGCCACAGTACGGCTGGAAGAGACAGGTCAATTGAAAAATCCAGTGACCTCATCGGGAATGGTACCCGCGGTCATGCAGCTTGTAGCATAGTGCCTCAACCAACTACGCTACCGCGTGCCCCCTGACAGAAGAGTTACACTGCTTAATCCAAATAGCAACCATTTAGAATTTATGTTTATATTATTGCAGGTGTTTTATAACCAGACCTTCCTTCATTATAATCCCTTCGCATGTTACAACAGGACAGACCCTATCTAAATCTGCTGTTTTACCAAGCTCCAGGTATCACATGGGTAAACGAACAGGTGTTTGACTGGTATCAACACAATGGATTACAAATCCAAACTAAATTATACATGCGAAATTGTGATTAAACTGGAACAAAATTATGTAATATCAACAGCACCGTAACATAATCAAGCTATAAGTCAACCTCCAAAGAAGAATTAGATTAAGAAGTACACCAGGGGCTCAGTGGTACAGAGAAAATAATCTGAGATGTGTTTGGGAAGTTTCCGGTTGCCTTGCCTACGGAGGCGAATATCGGGACAGTACCGTCAAATAGGCCACACCGCTTCCTTTTGAATCTTCTCCTTCTAACAGTCATCTTTTTAGGCACTTCCGCCATATTTTCCTTATGTAAGACATAAGAAGAAGTAAACATGTTTAATACCTTAAAAGCATAATATCCATTTCATAATCTCATTGTAAGTCGCAACTCTTTTCTTGAGTAAAACCCTAATCGATTTTGTATATGTTCTTCACACAAAATGTATGTACTTGTTTCATACTTGTGTTATTGCTCAAGGTGTTGTTATAAGGATATCCACATATTCCTGTTCCAAAACCACTGGAAGTATTTCGATTAAATTTGGTATTGGGAGTATAATTAGAATGATCAAGTCAAGGAGGATGAGGTGGACAGTGCATGTAGCACGAGTTGGGGCGACGAGGAATGCGTATAGGATATTGGTGGGAAAGCCAGAAGGAAAGAGACCACTGGGAAGATCAAGGCGTAGGTGGATGGACAGTATTAGAATTAGTATTAGAATGGTCCTTAGAGAGATAGGGCGGGATGGCATGGATTGGATAGATCTGGCTCAGGATAGGGACCAGTGGAGAGCTCTTGTAAACACGGTAATGAATCTTCGGATTCCATAAAATGCTGGGAAATTCTTGAGTAGCTGCGGAATTGGCGGCTCCTCCAGAAGGGTTCAACTCCATGAGTAAGTAAGTAAGTAAGTAAATAAGAGTCTGTAATTGAACTTGTCAGGGCAAATATGCTTTTTGTTCATATAGGCCCAAAATAATTTTGAATATTTAAGAAGATCAAATTTTCTCCAAAACTGACAATATTACATAGAACTCGGAACTTTTTTTTTCAATGGCTCTTCCAGCCCTGGCCTCTTTTTCAGTTCCCTAATCATTTTTCACAGACGGGAGGACTCCTTGGACGAGTGATCAGCCCGTCGCAAAATCTCTACGTAAACTGAGGACAACACAAACAGAATAAATGCATACACACACAAACATACATGCCTTGAGTGAGATTCGAACCTAAGATTCCAGCTTCCCAGCGAGCGTAGACGGCGCGGCTACTGCTACCGGCAAAACTCGAACTACATATGTAAAATATATATGATCTATTTTTTGAATTTGGAGTATTTTTCAACTGGAGTAATTTAAGCGGAATCCAACACAGCTTTGTCAAAAGAATTGTTTGCTATTTTAGGTTACGAAATGTTACTTAATATTTATAGCAGAAGGATTCAGGAGAACCTGCATGCGATAAAGGAAACAAAGAAAAATATTTTCAGTTGTAAAAATACACGTATTAACCACAAAGATATTTAAATTTGCTAACATGTTACTTAAAATCATGTTCATTGCAGTAGATATTTTTTTAAAATTAGAGATCTCACGGCTCTGGCTGTGAAGGTAGCAATATTGATTTCCTTTTTTTGTTACCATTGGACTGAATTTGTGAAATACGCTGTAAATTGGGGGGGGGATAATTTTCATTCCTGTTTCCATGAAGATCGGGTAGTAATTCAAAGTTACTATATTGTTCCCCGAAAACAAGGCTATAAACAATGTTAATCGCAGACAATTCATGTAAAATTAGTCGCCGGCATTTTTCTCTTGTTCCGCAATATAATCACTATTCATTATCACCCTCGTGCACGTCATTAAGCGTCGTGTTCTGCCGTAGTTTTAACTCTGTGTCCTGGAGTTACATAACATGACATTATAAATTAGACTCAGAACAAAACCGCTACCAGAGTATCCACGGCAGAGGGGTGACTGCGAAATAAATTACATTTTATTTTAAGCGAAAATCCATAAATTAATAAATCAAGTTATTTGTCTGAAACTGAATCCCAGAAGGGAGATTATTAAATACAAAAGAGAATAATAACACGGATATAGCCTATTATTAGTGAATACAGCGTTGTACGCGTACGGACTTCATGGAGCTCAAATAAAACGCACATCGGTTCTCGCTGATATTTCCAGAAAAAGAACTCCACGATTTATGTGTCAGTAATATAACATCTGTGATTCGAATTCAGCATGGATTAGGCTTCAGGTCTGGACTCGGTTATTCGAAGAAGAAAGAAAAGAAGCCATAAGCCCTTCTGAGCATTCGCCACGAACGAGCCAGTTACCCTGATTGAAGTTTTTACGAACAATATAAGAACTGACGCGACTCGGAAAGCGGCAATTTCGTTTGTATCGTCTACCTCTTCTTCTACAATTTCACCTTGTCAGCCTCATCTCTCATCCCATATTTTGTTCCTCCTTTCAAATTTCCTTCTCCTCTTTTCTCTCTTCTTTATCTCCTATGTCTTTTAGTTTCCATGCCCTTATCTTCCGTCTTATTACTACTTTTTTATCATCATTTTCTCTCTTGTTACGCTTTTCTTCATTCGGTTTCATTTTCTTGCTCTTCAATTACTTCTTTACCTCCTAATTATGTTTTTCTTACTTTTTACCGTTCTTTTTCGTCAGTATTCTTGCACTAGAAATTGTGGGTTCAGACTCTGGAAGACTTTACGTGCTTCTCGCATTGGCTTCCGTTCTCCTCCTAACAGCTTTCGACTTTAAAATACAACATCATTAATACAGCACAGAAGAAGTATAACGTGGCCTATTTCGTAGCTTCTTCTCCACACCTCACAGTTAAAAGCTGGCAGCTATTCAGTTAGAATTCAGTTCCTAACTTCCAATTCAAGATCGTAAAAATTGTGACACGTTTCATATAACACAGTTTTGTTGACACTCCCCCATACGCCTTCATGGAATAGTGCTTAATTAGTTAAGCACACGGACGACTTCACCTCTACAACGAAGCTCGAGCATAACGAAATTTGACGCTGCTCACAATTAGCGCATATCTCTATAGGAAACTTC